GTCACAAAATGCCTCCCAAATATGTCAGGTCCAGGAGGAGAGGGATTGTATCTCTGGGACATTATTTCTTCCTTCTCTTTCAGCAACTGAACATATTTCCTTTCTATTGTCTTTTTGTTGGAAGCTCTCCATGGCCAGCATCACTGCCCTCGGCTACAAGAACAAGAAGATAGTCTCCAGCAGGCAGAGCTGGTCTTGAGCTGGTCAATCGTCATGTCTGGGGACCTCTTAACAATCCAAAGGGCTTTTCCTTGAAGTCCAAGTCAATAGCTAAAGCCCGCCGCCCCCCGCATCATGCCAGCCCTTTGCTCTATCCACCTGATTTCTATCTAATCAAGAGCCACTGTGTGCTTACAACTTTCCTCTGTGTTTGGCAGTGGTAGGCCATAAATTAGAACGTTCTACACAAATAGACTTCACTCATAGCACATATGTGGGTGCCGTGACTTCAAAGAACTGAAGCACTTAGCTTAGAGGAGCATTAGTGTAGACCTACCCCCATGACTAAAGCCCCCCAAAGTGGACATTTGAAGAGGCAAGGGCTGAGTTTCCCGAGAAAGCGAAGACTCGGGGTCTGAATTCTTCACGAGTGAAAATGTTTCCAAGTCAGAGGACAGAAATTGGCGGTGCTCCATCAGGGATAGAAGGAGGACATGTGTCTCAGTGACAGCAGGAAAACTTAAAACTGAATTTAAGAAGTTCCTGACAGTTAGGGTTGTGACCCAGAAAACACATTGCTGATGTGGCCTAGGAAACTCCTGCTCTGGAGAATTTAAAGCAGAGGGTAGACAGCTGTCCTGGGGATGTTTTCAGCGTGGTTCCTCTGGGCAGCCGGGCTGACCTGATCTAAGCTGTCTCTTGAGGTCCCACTCTCATTCCAGAATCATGTAGTATTTTATTTCATCTCCTATACAGTGACAGGAAAGACATGTGGTAAGCAGCGTATTATGCACAAGTAGGGGCCAACTGATTGCTGGGGTTGGAGCGTCTTCACTGCCTTCTGGCCAAACCATACTTCCTTGTGAGTCTAGGACTGGTCTTCCCAGGTCATTGGTGCTCTTTTGGCCCTTTTTCTTTCTTAAAAAAAAAAAAAAAAAAAAGGCAAGACATAGGAGTCAGTATGTGTAATGATAGTAGTAGTAGTAATAAAGGTCAGAGCTTTTATTGAGTGCTTACTATGTCCCTGTTACTATTGAGCGTTACTACGTCCCTGCTCCGTGCAAAGCATTTCCCATGGCCTGTTCCATTTCCTTCTCCTCACAGCCCTCTCCAGTAATGTTCTTATTAGACCCATTTTACAGACGGGGAGACTGAGGCTTTAAATGATGGGTGAGCATTAGACGAGGGTTCCAGCCCAGATCAGCGGCCACGCTCTGGCGATTCTGCTCCCTTGTGTGGTGCTTTCAGCTAGCAGCCGTCTCAGACACGTGGCTTCAATTCTCCGAGCCTCCATTTCCTCTCTGGTAAAAATGGAGAAAACAGTACTTGCTTCACAGACCTAGATTTCACAGGGAAGATTATATAAGAAAAGGCAGACGATGCTTCCTGCACAACTGCTGGTACACAGTAGGTGTTCAGTGAACACCAGTTCTCTTGCCCCTGCCTGTCCTGTCCCCTCCCTGGGCCCTGCCCGGTCTTAGCCATCCCTTCATGACGTCCTGCTTCTAATCAGGCCCCCTCAATAACAGGCAGGGACGTTTTGTGGCTCAGCGTCCCTCTGACTGATGTCTCCTGCTAATTCCTTAAATTTACATATCATCTTTCTTCCCTTGAGCTCATAGCACTTAACAGACAAGTGGGGCACAAATGATTTAACTAAGTGAAATTCAGAGGCCTGCTTGTCTTGAGATTCTGCAAACTAGTGGATTAGCTTAGATGTCAGCACTGAATTATGATCCTTCAGCTGCTCGTGCTTAGCACGCCACCAGCATTAACTCCCTGGTCTTCCAGTGGTCCTTTAAATCATGCGGAGCGATTATCGTCTTATTGTGAGAGAGAGAGCAGAGGAGGGGGAGGGAGGGGAGGAGGGGGCTAGCTGGGGCCCGGGGCACGGTAGCCTGGGAGACCTTTGGCCTGATAGTGCCTGAAGTTTTAGCACCAGGATGGGTAAACAGAACAGACCCAGATAAAATCCACCTCCACACACATTTTACTTACTAAATTCTAACCATTATGCTATGAATCCCCTGCCACTTAAGAATGTAAATTCACACAAGTGACAGTATTTCTGCCAAGCAATTTTCAAGCAGCAAGTGGGTCTTATTTGTGAAACTGTGAAGGAAGAAGGCTGAATAATAAGTCTCTGAAATCTGGTTTCCTTTCTATCTGAGGTGGAAGCAGTCAGGGCTTGGAAATTATTGGAGCACAGGAGAATCGGGGTTGGGGGGGTCTCACTGGTGGCTCCACGGTTCATCCCCAGGTCACCCTGTTATTATCAGCTCTCCTCACCTTTGAAAGGGGCGTTGGCTCAGGAGAGTGGGAGGGAATTGTGAAGAGATTATCTAAATCTGTGGGATTACCAAAGGCTAGCTGATTCTCCCTCTGTTCTTGTGTCTTGTGAGAATATAGAGCCTCATATTGTTCCTTTATCTGTGTGTTTGTCATTCATTCATCTGTGGGGACAAAATTTTCTTGAGTAGCAGCATCTATATATCACCGTTGAGGGGCAGGAAGAAGAAGCAGAGTATTAACCCTTCTATGTGTAAGCCTGGGACTCTGTCATCTCACTGGAGTAATGGGAAAGACACACGCGAACCAGTTAAACTACAGCACGAGGCAGTGGGTGGTTACCTGCTGAAATGAATGAGAAATGGCCTCGAGTCTTTTTAAAAACAAGATAAGATCAGTGGTACAGTCAGTAAAATGTTCGAATTGTGGAGACAAAAGAGGCATTAGCTGGAATGTGCCAGAATGGGTAGGAGAAGAACTAGCCAAAGAGGTGGGAGAGGTAGAGTGGTAGGGGAGGGAGGGGTGGCAGGAAGGAGAAGCGGGAGCAGGGGCGGAGGTGTGGTGGGGGGGAGCCCAGTTTGCCTTGAATAGAGTGTGATGATTGCCCGGACGTGGGGCAGGTACCTGGGGGCACAGCTGAAGCGAAGAACCCACAGGAGAGGTGGAAAACCTGACGTCAGGTCCAGCTGTACTCCTTACCACCCTCTCTACTTTGGTCAAGTCCCTTGAACCTTTCTGACCTCCATGTCTTCGTCCTGTACAAATAAGAGTCAGAAGATAGAGCTGTCACAAGCATTTAGGAAGGATTAGACCAAACAATGCACGTGAACGTGCTTTGGAAACCTGCAAAGCATTCTGCAAATATGACTTATAATTATTATCATTAATAGTGGTAGTAACAGGATCTGATAGGAGAAGCGTAGGTTTGGAAGATCTGGGAGTGTCTGGTTGCGACACCCGTGTCTCCTCCCTTGGCAGATCACCACCTTTGAAATGTGTGCTGTGGACAGCTTCTGGTTATCTGTGCCTCCTCTGGCCTTGAAGGGGTCTCCTGTTGTGGGGGTATTAGACATGTGGTTCTGGATGGTTAAGGAGACAAACTGGAATCCCAGCTATGCATCCTGAACTGGTCTGATTTGACTTCAGGGGAGGGTAGCTTCTGGAGCAGTAATCCTAGATCTAACTGGAGGGGCTTGGGGGGCGGGCAGGAAGGAGGGAGAGAGATGGCTGTGGGAAAGAAGGAAGGCACTGTTTTGGGGCCAGTGACACGCTCATTCTTGCTAGAACAACGATGTCAGCAGGGGTAGCAATGGCAAACCAGTGGTCTAGAGAGTAACCTGTTGATTCCGGGCTCTGAGTTCTTGCCTGTTCTCCCCTGACAAGCCCAGGATGTTCACGGTCCCTGGTGAATAAGAAAGCTGGGTGCATGTGTCTCAGATTAACATGATCCTCAAGGGTCTGATGTGCTGGCTGTGTGGTGTGAACATTCCCCGCCACCTTGCGGAAGTGCTTGGCATAGGATGTGTCGGGGCCAAAAGGAGGCAGTGAGATTGTCTTCTCAAATGCCACCCTGTTTTCTGTACAAGTGGCCAGAATGCTCCTGTGTACGTTGGGTTTGCAGGTGCAGGCCCCCATACCCGCCTCTGCAGGGCATGGGGTCTGCAAATGGCAACAAGACCTCCATCTTCTGCATGGTGTCTGATGTATTTGCAAACTAATCAGCCAAAAGGCCCATCCTCCAAACATTTGGATGGACGAAACCTTAATTTCCCATCCAGTATATAGTCTCTATTAAACACGTGACCTTCATTAGTGATGATGACTGTGCCTGTTCTCGGTGGAGCTGTTTCCTGGCCTTCTGAAAAAAGGCCATTTCTGGCCTCCCCAGGCTGGAAAGGGAAGGGAGTAAGGTGTCTGGCCCCCCTGGCTCACCCCCACCCCTCCACAGCCACCATCCCTTCTTCCGCTTGAGGTCGACGCTGGCTTTGGACAGTCGCTAGAGTCCAGGTGCCACCTAGTAGCACAGACGGTTTTAAATGTCTTCCATTTGGCCAGTGCCCAGCCAAGATGACAAAGGCTTGAAGCATAAGCCACCTGGCTAGAATCATCTTCCAGTCTAGCAGCCACCTCGCCCCCTTATAATTTAGTTCGTTAGGATGCATTGGCCCTTTGGGTAAGGCAATGGTGAATAAGACATGGGTGTGGCATCTTCGGTTCTAGTGGGGAAAGACAGGCACAGACACCACCAGCCAAGACGTAAGGCCAACTGCACCAAGTACCATCTGTACACAAAGACACAGAGAAAGTGATACGGAGAAATAGGCAGGAAAGACCAACCAGACATCAAGGCTCCCGAAAAGGCTTCAAAAGGAAGCAGCTTTTGAGCCAAGCTCTTAAAGAAGCTTGAGAAGAAAACACAGGGCCTGGAGAACAAGGACATGAATAAACAAGACCCCCAAACTCTGGTTCTGGCTTTCTCCGGGGTGGGGGCAGAGCGGCAAACTGGTCTCTTTCCCCAGTGTAATGGGAACCTCTGGGTTTCTTTCCCACAGATGACAGGAATTTCTTGCGGCTGCAAAGCGATGGGCAGAGAGAGGGCCAGTACGCCCGGCTCATCAGCCCTCCCGTGCACCTGCCCCGAAGCCCCGTGTGCATGGAGTTCCAGTACCAAGCCACAGGCGGCCGCGGGGTGGCGCTGCAGGTGGTGCGCGAGGCCAGCCAGGAGAGCAAGCTCCTCTGGGTCATCCGGGAGGACCAGGGCAATGAGTGGAAACACGGGCGGATTATCTTGCCCAGCTATGACATGGAGTATCAGGTAGGGTGGTGACGGGAGGTGGGTGATCCGGGAATCTTTGTGATCCGTATTTCAATATTGCAAAGGGCCGTGCCCATTCATCATTAGGGAACGTGGTTAAGCACCGCTGTTTTCATTGTGTTTCTCACATTGCCATGGCAACTAAATGACACTCTTATTTGTTATTCAAAATGTGCCTATCTCTACACCCAGACTTGGTTCTTTGTTCCTCCTATTGCCTTTTATATTGCTGAAATCTTCCCAACAAATGTTTCTTCTCTCCATTTTAGTTTAAGATTGCTATCGGGTAGGCTGACAAAGGGACACAGAAGCCAGGGAAATAAAACACAAGCCAGCCTCCACACACGGGGGAGGAAGGCTGCCGAGCCCCCTGCACTCCAAGGAGAGGGGAGAATCCTGCCAGACCTGTCCCGGGGCAAGTGGGCGAGGGAAGGGGAGGGTGGCTGTTCGCACTCAGTGGCCAGCAAACCAGAAAGACTCCTAAATGAGTGGTTCCTCTCCCCACCGCTCCAGGAGTTGAGCTTTATTATATCTGCCCCACAGAGCGAAAGACTGAGGCACAGATGGGTATGCACAGCTGTGGCTGAGGCTTGGGTAGGAGTAGACACACTGTGGAAGAGGTGACTGAGAACCAGCCAAGGCATTAACCTGCTCCTCCCCAGACAAGAAGCAGCAACAGACGGCTGGTGAGGCAGCCAACTGCTCGCTCAGCTTGCCAGAGGACATGTGCTCGTTTGCAGAGAGAACCTAGGGAGGGTGAGAGCAAGGAATGATTGAAGACCACAGAGCAGAGGGGCTTCTGCTTGCAGCCGGTAGTCGCTCCGGAGCTTGTAAGGTGTCCTGAGTTCTGCCCCACCCCGGCCTGCATTCCCATTTATAAACCTTAATGCACTGTATTGTAAGGACCTGTTTGCATTTTCGTCTCACCCGTCAGATGGTGAGGATCTCTGGGCAGAGGTTGTACTTACGAGATTTTGTAACCATCCTTGTGCCTAGCACAGAGTAGGTGTTCCATCAACTATTGTTGAAGGAAAAAATCCTTTCCTTCCTAGTTGTAATAATGGAGCCATAAGACAATGCTATGCCAGAGGCAATCCAAACCCAGCATACTGTATTTCTCACCTTACCCCACCTCTTATGTCCTCTGAGTTACCAAATACCTGGATTGGGCATTTGAAAGATTTATAAGAAAGGAACCTCAAAAATGGCTAGGGACATTTCAACCCTCCTTCAAACATGTCCTGATTCCGGTCCTTTTAATCAGTATGTTCCAGTTACTGGACAACACTGTCCATCACCTTGTTATATATATTTTTAATCCCTTCAGATATGCATTTGATTTGAACCAACTCTTTTTAAATTAAGATTTCAAGTACCATAGCCATGTGGTCAGCAGATGTGCACCAGGTACAGTAACACACACACACTTTAAGCTGCAGTTAACAGAAAATTGGAAATCTTTGCACTGTTTGAACCAGGGGTTAACAGGGTTCTTGTTCTTCTGGCTTCTAGATTGTGTTTGAGGGAGTCATAGGAAAAGGACATTCAGGAGAAATTGCCATTGATGACATTCGGATAAGCACTGATGTCCCACTGGAGAACTGTATGGGTACGTGAACACCTGTCTCTTTGTGGCTCTTCCAAACAAGACACCAGGGGCTGGGATATACAAGAGGAGGCAGCACACCATTTTCAAATCCAGTTGTACCCCATGGGTAGAACAGCAACGGTCTATGCAGGAGGTGAGGAATGAATGTAGTTGTAGCTTAGGCTGCGTTCAGGATGGGAGGGGTGTGAAATGAGGTGAAGTCTTCTATCTCCTGTTCCCATTCAGAAATAGACATGCAGTAAGTATATGGAGACTCAGGGTGGCAAGACCCCATCATCAGACTCCAGCTTTTAGCAAAGAAAATGCTAGAAGATGAGCACAGCTGCCAGTCAGAATTACATGCTGCAAAGCTTTGATGTTTTTAATGGAAGCCTTCACTGGTGAGCAAAAATAGTACATATGTTATATCAGACTGATAACACAACTACCCAGGTTGTTCCTTTACATGAATGAACTGCAGGGCAAACTATGGCAGGTGAGGTAAGATTTTAGAGTTTGCTCCGAAGCTAACAGCTTCAATGCCCAAGATCCCAGAGTTGTAAGATTCAGCATTACATGCCAGGTGACCAGCATAGGAAGGACACCATGGCTGTCCCTTTGGACAGAAGCGCTGAGCAGCCAGCCCACAGAAGATGCACACATTTTACCCAGGTCACCCCCAAGGGCATCCTGACTGTCTCCCATGGGAAACATGGACATTTCCAAAGCAAGAGGGAATGCTGAGAGGGAATGGGACCTGCTTTTACTAGGCAGAGTGACTGTAATCACTCACCGAGAGCTTTTCTTGGCACATGGGTCCTGGATGTGTGTGTGCCTGATGATGTCAGAAGCACCTGGGACCACCCCAGTCCCTTTAGGCCCCAGGCATCTAAACGTACTCCAGGCTCTGAGAAAGTAATCAGTGGTAAATGATTACAATGCTTTAGAGACTCATTGCACTATAAAGAACTTTTTGTTCCAAAGCAACTTTGGGACTCTCTCACCCCGCTCCCCAGCCCCTGTGATAATGATGTGTTAGACAGTCTAGAGCATGAGGTGGACATAGGGCCACTTTTCATGGGGTATTACAAAAAGTCATCTCCCTCATACCTTACACCTGCCCCATTATTTCTTCCCCTTATCTAACTCAATATTTTTTCTTTTTTTCCCCCCAGAACCCATCTCGGCTTTTGCAGGTGAGAATTTTAAAGGTAAAAAAAAAATTTTTTTTTTTTTTTTGCATGTCTTTTTCTTCCACCCATGTGATGTGAATTTGGTGTGGGGAAGGAACCTCCAAACTTGACAGATCTCTCAAGAGAAAACAGACACCACACTTTCCCGCCACTAGATGGCACCAACAACACCTGTAGATTCCGGGAAAGAGGATTGAGATCTTCACCGTCTCTTGTTTAATTAAAGTTTAGAAACCTATAATAGAGACAAATAGGTTACAGATAAACCTTTCAGCCTTGTATTGTCCAACGGGGAGCAATGAGGCTGAAAATGCATGAGTAGTGAGAAAGGAGAAGCTGTGGGGGAGACTGAACGACAACAAAAATCAGTAGTAAATTAAAAGTGAAACGAGGTGGCAATGATTTATTTTCGCCTGAAGATGGTTTCTTTCCAGCTGCAGGGCACCAAGACAGCGGTCGCACTGAACCCCCAGTGAGGTACAGTGGCAGGCGGTTTTGCGAGCGTAGAAAGTTAGGGAAAAGACACGAGGAGTGATGATCCTGAGGAGAAAGAGTTGCAGAATTCTGGAGCTGGTGTCTGGTGAAGGGGACGAGGAGCCACGTTTGCCTCCTGGAGTTAGAGCATTTAAATACAGGACTGAAAACCAGAACAGGACATTTGCTCCCTAACAAAGTAAAGAGCAGAGCAGAGAGAGACGAATCTGGGATGCCGGCCTTGTGGTCGGAGCGAGGGTGGTGGTGATGGTCTGTGCTGTGGGGGGCAGTGGGGTTCACCTCCTGCCCTCCTTGAGCTCCAGTGACTTGACACCGATGAAGTTTCCACCCAGTTGTCCAATGCTGAGTGTCTAGAAGCCCCTCAGAGGGTTTCCGTTCTGTCGGCCTGGGTGGCGGAGCACACACCAACACTCCCTCTCACCTGACCCCTGAGGGTTTTCATACAAACAGCGGCGAGGCTTGCTGTGCCCTCTTTGTACCGGCTGGCCTTCACCCCGGGGGTGACAGCATTCCAGAGATAAGGGAAGTCATTTTTATATCCAAAGTCTAGACTCGTTATCTTCGGTCTCATTAATCTGTCCAGCTCCTGGCTAGAAAGAGATGAATTCCCGGTTTGCCACCTAGATGCGCTTTTGACTCCAAATCATCTGGCCTAATTTTCCACTCATCATCCTCTGAGACAATGCGGGGGGGCGGGGGGGGGGGAGAAAGTGGCAGGGAAGAGAATGACAGACCGACACAGAATACAATTTCTTTCTTTCTCCCCTGTCCGTGCCTCCCGAACGCCATGCCCACTCCCCACGGCACATGTGAAAGTATGGAGGGTGTACCTGGGCCTGTGTTGATGCTCTTCGGTGTGTGAGATTTATGTTAATACGGGTCCAAGTGTGGGGAGGGAAGCTGAGATCCGAACTGACTCACTTGGATCACAGTTGAATTCAAGTTCTTGGAATTCCAGGACCCAAGGTAATGTTTCTGTGGGGCAAGTCAAACCTGCTCGTTAAGACTCCAGGCTCCCGGGAACGCGGGTTAAAGACTGACAGCGGGCATGCAGTGTTGTGTGGGAGCCCGCATGTCCGAGTCCGTGACTGACAGGTACAGGGGCTCAGTGCTTTGCTTCTTAAGAGATTCAGCAACGCAGGGCGTGTGTGCCGTTCTTGAGGCTCTGTTTACCGTGGGGCTTCACAGTCCGGTCATATTCCCTTGTACAAAATATATAAATAAAATATCATCAGAGCCGCAGTGCTCACTTAGCCAAAATAAACACAGGGCTTAGTGACTTGAAGGTAAGCATCTCCGGTGTGCTGCCAATGGGCTGATTCGGGGGTTAAGCAAAAGCAGCACATGGGAGGCATGGATTGGCCCCTGACTGTTGTCTCTGGAGAAAGCAAGCATTTTGGAAGAAGGAAACCAAGTCTTGAGGGGCAGAGACTTGGCCAAGGAACGTAGAGTCAAGGGCAGGATTGGCATTGAAAGTGGACAACTTCGATCACATTGGCAAGTTGTACGCGGAACTCGGAGGCCGTAGCAAGGTGAACTCAGGGCCGGTCTTCTTTTGGGCCAAGGCCCCTTTGACCTCAGAATGCAACTCTGGGTTTTGACTCAAGCAGAGTCTTCTACTGGGGAGAAGAAAGGGGATGACCATTTGCTCTGTCTAAACCTCATGAGTGACCGGCCTAGCGTACCTTTCCTGGTCAGCGGCAGCCCCAGTGGGGGTGTGGGTGTCCTGGGATTAAATCAGCCTTTTCACTCAAAAAGGGAAACAAAGAGAAATCAGGTTTGGGCAGGCAGGATGTGGAAAGTTGATGGTGTAACGCTAATAACAATAGGCAGTTACATTGTTAGTATGGCTTTTTTTTTTTTTTGAATCCCGGTTGTTTTTCTTTTCCATTATAAATTAAGCATGAGACAGAAGCAATCTCATTCTTTAGGAGAGACCGATGTGTACTAGGTAAATCTTTAAGGAAGTGCAATAAAAGTGGGCCTCTGGGCTGGGTCTTATGAGGTATTCTTGATCTTTTATATCTGAAAGTGTCTTTCATTCTCTGCCTCTTACTCATTTCTTGCCATGAAACATTTTCTTTTTATTCCAGTCACCTTGTGTTTTCTGCTTAGTGTGTATACTTTGATTGTAAACCAGGGTGTGAGTCCGTAATGAAGAGAAACAAGCCATAGAGACAAAGAGAATGTGTAGAGAAGGAACAAGGAGGAGAGAGAATGAATAAGCTGCGTTGTCATGTGATTTGTAAGAAGACTTTTGTTGTTGTTATGAGTCACATTTTAAACAATGTAGCCTGGGTGTGCGTTTTTTTTCTTCCTTTCTTTTTTTTTTTTTTTTTAAGCTGCGGCTATAAACGTAGTGCCATCATGTATCTTTTTCTAGAATTTGAGCTTTAACAAATGAAAAACTGTGTAAAGGAAAAAGAAAGAAAGAAAGAACCAAAAAGTGGCATAATTAAGATGATGGATTATTTCCTCTTAACCAATACTTTCTTTTTTCAGTAAAAGAAAAAAGAATAATAAAGAAGCCAGTAAAAATATGGCAAGCCCATGATCAGAGCTCTGTAGTTGTTGACCAGGTGGTTATTTTTAGTAGCTCACAGTAGAAGCAAGAGGTTTTATTCACGTTAGAGGCTGGGGACTTTGAACAATGCAGGACCAGAGAGACTGGGTCTGGTACCTTCCCTGTTAGAGACCCATGGAAATCCCAGGCACGGGTGCACCCAGGATGGGTGGTTGTTACAGTAGAGGATTCAGAACCGCTATGTCTACCACTGATGGATGCTAAAAGGAACATCAGTATCTCTTACTAATGTCTGTGAGCCTGGGTTTTATGTCTCAGGCCAGTTCTGAGAGCCATAGGGCCCATCTCTGGGTTTCACACTCCACAGTCCTACTCCATTTTCCTCCAGTTAGAACCAGGAGAAAGTGAACATCTCAGTCATGCGGGAGCCCCATCCTGGGGTAGCAACAGAGCTGGCTGGGGTTTGCCTTGGGTTTTAAGTTCTGTTTCTTCGGTGCCAACTGGTCCATCTCCGCCCATCTCTCCTCTTTTCTCCTGATCCTCATTGCCCCACGGGCCACCCCCCAGAGGCGTCGCCCACCCACGTAGTGTCCCCCATCCCAGGGCACAGGACCTGGGGTTGGCCTCAGATTCCCTCTCTCCTTGGCTTCCCTGCTCTTCTCTCCTAGAAGCACTTCCAAGAGGGGGTGCGGGACGAAAGGCAGAGAAGTATTCCTGAAGCCTGCCAGGGTTCCCAATAGGCAGCTGTGGTGTGCAATTCTTTCTCCTCGTACCCACCACCACCACCACCACCCCCCCCCCACCGATGTCTCCAGCTGCCAGATTAAGGCTAGGTGTTGCTGAGCAAGGGAGCACGGAGACGAGATGTGTGTAAACCTCGTCACTGCTTGGCTGCCATTGCTTGCCTGAGGGGACACCGAGGCATTCTTTGTGAGGGTTGCTCACGCAGACTGCCTCTCCTGTCACAAAGGGGGCTGACGTGCCCCTCCCTGCAAGCGTGCCTTCATCTAAACAGCTGCCAGCGTCACTTTCTCTAAGGGGAGAAGAACAGGTTTTTTTTACCGACTTTTCCTCTCTCCAAGAAGTGAGTGCCACCGAAGAGAAGGGTCCGAAACTGGCAGCCACCGATCTGAATTTAGGGGCATTTTGGAGAGATATGGGAGCTCAGTGCAGCGTCTGCTAGCCTCGTGGAAGCCTCCTGAGGACCACCCCCCCCCCCCCCCCCCCCCCCCCCCCCCCCCCCCCCCCCCCCCCCCCCCCCCCGCCCCATACACTGCTCATAAGGCAAATCGAAGAGCCATTTCTCAGGGAGATTTTGTACTTTAACATTCTTCTTCCAAACAGATGAGTAGGCGTGACCACATTCTTCTACTATCTTCTGTGAACTCTTCTAGAGGAGGCAACCCATTTTTTTGTTGTTGTGTGCTTAATCTCACAACTAAACAAGCCTTTTATCTGAAATACTCCTTCCCTAGCACCTCATTTGTAACCTGTGCAGAAAGGACTCTGAAGACAGGCCAGGCCTAAACAGTTCTTATTTGCCCTGAGCCTTTTTTTCTTCTTCTGGGAGAGATGCCTCACCATTGGTGGCCTTCAAAACATTTCTTTTGGAGACCTGGAGGACTCCTCCAGGTCCAGAGGACATTTGATGAGCTTAGCTATGGGAGATGCTTTCTGTTTACCATGACTCAGTGGGAACTTGACTGAGACAGTCCTCAGACAGGTTTGGACAAAAGTCAGGGGCAGAGAGGGAGAGGACTACTTCTGTCCCTTCCCAGCTTGGTTAGGACGGGGCTCTGCATAATTCTTCTGTAGAAGGAAAGATAGTCAACGTGTTGGGTTTTTGGAGACTCTGTGTCACAGGTCCTCAACTCTGCCCTTGTAGCACCAGAGTGGCCATAAGCACGAGGTAATAAGGGCGGCTTTGTTCTAGAATGGACAGAAATAGGCAGTGGGCCAGAGAGGTTATCGGAGCCCTGGGTTCCCGCACAGGCCGAAG